CATCAGACACATAAGGTTAGTGTTACAGTACCAGTGTTACTGTACCGGTTATTGTACACATGTGTGCGGGTCCAGGATGACCGGTGAAGGGTTTGGTGGCTGTACTGTCACCCTGCTGTCAGATAAAGCTGTACAGGACACCATCAGTCACATCAAGGTTAGTGTTGCTGTACGAGTGTCTCTTGCCAATTAATACCCTTTTAAGGCCAATTTCTACAATTTATTCAGCCCGCAAAAGAAGTCTGGTGGAGACTACCTTTGTACCAGGTCCTTAAACCTACATGTATAAACTACATGTAAGGTAGAAAGTGTACAATGTACATGTATTATTCCATTTAGTTTGTATCTTACTGATGGATCCCTTTGCAAAAGGAAGTCATGTAATGATGTAATAGTTATGCAATTTTTGGTCACAGTACTTGGTTTGCATAATTTATTATACACAATGTTCTCGTCTCTTTTTACAGGAAAAGTACACAGGACAGCCCACATTCTACATCACCACACCAGCTGCAGGGGCAAGTGTGCTGCAGGTTCCATAGAACAGCCAGCAACAAACCAGTGTGGCTATAATACAAACACTGCAAAGGGACAACCCCCATTTTGTGTACTAAAATCCCCAAATGTTTGGCTTGAGACAGGGGATAGTTGAAGAAAAGACTCAGAAAAAAAATTGGAAAGGGGTATGACCCAAAATTAGAAGTCTGCAAATTTTTTTAGTAATTTTGGCAGGTCCGCTAGCTTGAATGGTCAAAGAAGATCTCCAATGCAACATTCGTCAACATTCCCACATACGGTATCTAAATTGTTCGTTCCTTGGCAAACAGTATAACTGAAAACTCCTTCAGAGAATGTATAGACTGTTAAATGACCTTGATATTGGAAATTGTACTCAGGTAACATTCCACTGAATGATAATGATTATAATACCTTTTAAATGTCTTCCTACAAAGAGTGCCTTTCGCCAAATATGTACTACTACTAGTACTAGGCAGCAGAAATAAGATTCTGTACTCAATTTTAGACTTTAAGTTTTATTCTTTGTGTAAAAAGTTGGTAGTTTTATGATTTGGTGTGCTCTATGCACAATTATGATCAGTGCAATTTAATCAACTTTATTAAACAAGTTACTAAAATATGAATTCTCACTCCTTTACACATTCAGTTTTTTTAGTAGTAAGACTAAAACACTGAGTACTGATTCAAAGATCAGAAATTATATTTGCTTATATTTTCACAAGGTTCTGATTTATTGTTGCAAAATGGTGTTACCCAATATGAAACCATATTAATTTGCATATTGGATTTGTTGCATATTGTATGCATAAGTAATTTATCAATGCCAACTCTGTAGAATAAAATCTGAGAACTAAAGAATGTCATTTGGTGGCTGTGTTTTTATCATTGCCATGCAGATTTCTGTGCTTTAAATCCTTAGATTTGTACTAATGCACACAACTTTGTTAGCCTCCGCGAGGGACGATTTGCTGCCGATGGAGTTTTTGCCACGGAGAGAAGGTTTCGCGCTGTCGCTCAGAGAAAAAATAACGCAGACGCCCAACAAGACTGCGAAGGAGGCTACACAAGTGTTATGTTAATGGTTATTCCATGATCCTTTAGCAATGGGGGTCAAGCAGGTCTGCACCTTTTAGCCTAGTGGTTAGTGTGTTAGTGAGTCTTGAGTGAGTGGCATGGGTTTGAGCCTGGAGACTTTGTGTTTTTACTCTCCCCCTAGTTGGTTAAAATGACTGTACTCTCCCCCTAGTGGGTCAAAATGATAATAATCTCTAAACAGATCTTTCAATGGCTGCAAAGACTATCAAATAGACTAGGCAGTATCCACTTGCCATCATACTGCCTAGACAACTTTATAATTATACTGTCTTTGCAACTACCAAAAGATCTACTTGGAGATAAGATAATAACACACACACAATGACGTACATGTACTACTTAAGTTGTAGGAGTGACTTTTTATTCCTATTTGCCAAATGGTCTGTCTCTAGACATACAAGTAATAAGTGTCAGATACAGAAGAATAACATGATCATTAGACATGTCAATTTTGACATTAATTTATTACTGTTCACCAATCATTAATTGGAATGTGCAGTTGAATTTAAGCCTCAGTAGTAGGCTCTCTACAGCATGCATTAGTCTGATTCCTATAGTTTTTGTTGTAAGACTGCACTCTAACACAAAGTACCACAAAAAATTTTCTACAGGGCCTTTTGCCATCGTTGGTAAAGGACTCATATGTCACAGAATATCTTCATCTAACAAAGTTTCGTGTGAAAAGTTTGACAATGATTACATGATAGTTCTTTAGTGTGGAATGTTTAATATGTCCATGAAAAAACACCAGCAAACTTAGAATACAAGTTGGCCCCACTACTTTTAGTACTACTAGTCATAGTTCAGGTTACTGCAAAGGACTGTGGGTAAGGTCAAAGGCCAATGCTACAAGAATCAGCACATTGGCTGTGTGAAACCTGTATAATGTCAACTAGATGTCAAGCATGCAAGTTATGGATTCAACTACATCGGCTATGATGGCTGGCCACGTGCAAATCTCTGATCCGCAGGGATTCACTTGATTTCCAGGATCTCGATCTCAAACATGAGATCAGCGTTGGGGGTGATCGTGAGCTGGTTAAGGAACGTGCACAAAAATACAGGCAACAATAACACATCATGTTATATACTTAATATATTCAATACTTACATGTAGAAGTCATTGACAGGTAAATATGGATCTGAGCATAAGGCCACAGCAAGTAAATTTTATGGATGACATCCTCCGCAGACTCCAAATCTAATGCGAGCGGGCGAAAAAAAACAAGGCGGGCCAAACAAAACTTCAAGCTTCATTGACAGTTAAAACCCAGCCAAAAATATTTTATTCTTTGCAAAAAAATATATTTCACAATGATAGACAAGGAAAACACTTAAGTCTACACGTGTATAAAGAAAATGTAATACATTCTACTACATTTTTTTGTCATGCTCATAGGCTATTATTGTATATTTGATTTTTTAAATATTTTCAGTACATTTGTACATGAGATACATTGAAATACATGAAATCATAAATTTGTACATGATGTACATGAAAAGGATATCCCCATGCAGGAAAGCCTGAAGCCCCGTAGCCTTTCTTGGAGTCGATGGTGAGCCTTGCTATTTCTCCTTGACTCATGGACAGACAGCCTTCATCCCAACCTTAAAATAAAAAAAAAGATGAGATTAGACTCCTGAGCTTAATAATACAAGTAATAAATCATAACAGCTTTACTGCTAAATAACTGAAGACCTGATTTGCATAATTGATGGAAAATTGCTATAATTTCATAGTTGTAACTGCTGGGCATTTCATACTTGCTGCAATTGAAAGTGAAGTGAAGGTAAACATCAATAATCATAATTTATCCAAATCATGACCTCATTTGCATAATTTATGAGGAACTGCTAAAATAGCGTTTTTGGTTTACTTATGTACAGAATGCTGCCATTGTAAGAAACAGGAGGAGACAGTAAAAAGTTCCACTGTAAGAAACAGGAGGAGACAGTAAAAACCCCACTGGTCCCGGGCTGGGGTTCGAACCCACAACCTCCCGGGCCCCAGTCAGACACTCTTAGCCTCTACCAGGCTTGAGGGCACGGCTGGAATTATAGTAGAAATTGGCCCGAAATAGAGAGATAACACGCCAAGGGAGTTTAGCCATCCAGTTTACAGTTTGCCGGCCCACAAGGCTCCCTCGGCGTGTTATCTCTCTATTTCGGGCCGATTTCTACTATAATTCCAGCCGTGCCCTCAAGCCTGGTAGAGGCTAAGACACTCTCCGCTAAAAGGTCTAGACCCATTTTCTGGATCTGTTGGTAGCGCCTATAAACCCCCCACTGTTACACCATTGGGTGGAGAATATGATCAACTGATATAATCCATGCAAATGAGGGTTTTGCGAATTGCGAAATCAATGAGTAACGTGTATAATTTGTCAACTGGAAGGGTTAACATCATTTGGCGAAGGTTTGAGATCGTGGAACTCTTGTTGAATACGATAGTGAGAATAGCGTTACAAGCATGATGCACTGTTGTAATATGATTACCGGGGTAACACCTTACCTTGGATGACTTTTCCCATGCCTACTTGAAAAGTGAAAGGCTTCTGACCAGGATCCTTTGTACTGTGGAAGAAAGAATATTTTTAATAAGACTGGGTCTGTTTGGGGTTTATGGAAAAAGGAGTCCAGTCCGATTGGCGGAAAAAGCAGTCCAGTCCGATTTTGGTTTCCTTTTTTGGACTCCTTTTTCCATACACCCGTCTGTTTGATGTTTACAAGCTGCATACTATGGTAGCCTCCGTAGCAGGCTTATAGAACTGGGGTTTTGGTGGTCCTCGGCTGTTTCTGATTAGCCCAGTTCTAAAACGGTTGTTAATTCAACCAGGCAGGCAGTCTACATGCAATCAGAAAATAGCACATATAAGATCCCAAAGACCCTGAAGACCCCAAAACCCTCAGTTTTTGGCATGCTATGGAGGCTAGTACTATGGGTTGGGTGGTCTAAACTATTTAAAGGGCTGCGTACCGGTTCTGCGTACCGATACAGTACCTCAAAAATCAATTAGGTACAGGTCCAAAGGACTCGTAATTGACTTTTGGACCAATATACCGAAGCCTGGCCAAATCACCCCCCTCCCCACATTGAATAAATACAGTTATATCAGACCCTTTGATTATAATCTTTACTAGTATCAAAGATGAAACCATGGTTACCATCTGGGGGCCTGCAGTCATGTTGGCAAAACTTATACATACTGTGCTTGGACCAAACCCACGTTTTATGTATAATTGTGCACGGCAAAATGTCTTCTTCATTGTATTTAAGGATGGCATTGGCATCTGTCAATAGTTTTGACATTATTGTTGTGTAGGAAAAGATATTGCCTGCAACACGAAAAATTCTGATGCAACGTTGACCAAACATCCAAATGGAAATCGTGAAAACTCCTGGTTTTCTATAAAAATTTAGCTGAAAATGCCTGCAATTGTGTAATTCATTCACTATATTATAATATGTCAATTCCACTTTGACATCTTGTGAGGAATACTGTGAATTTTCAAGGGTCTCAACTGTTAAATGTCAGAAAAACGTGTTTCTAGAAAACGTTCCAACATCTGCTTGAAGATAATAGAGGGCCTGCATGGGGTGCATGGGGAAGGTGGGGTAGTGATTACTACCAAATTTTCGCCTAAGATTACGAATTACATTAAAGTCTCAGAGCTAATTATGCCTTTACGCTTTGTGGCTAATGTACTGATTACGAATTACGTCGGTTTTTTGGCAGGCTGCCTATTACGAAGATTAAAAAGGCCTGATTACGCCTTACGAAAAAGGGCATACAGACCCCCATAGCACAAAGCAAGCCTCACCTCGTGCTGTATACAAAGGAAACTATGGCAAAATTAGGATTAAATCCTACCTCCAGAATTTCTTGGGCGGGTTGACCAGGTTCCCTGTACAGTGTACGGTGATCGTGTTGCCCCTCTGGACCTGAGGACCGTTACCTGGCCGGACAACCTCCTTCAAGACACCGGGAGTCACCTGAGACATTTTGCACGGACAGTATGCGGAAGTATCGAGACAGACAGAAAATAGCGAGCTGTTTGCATACGCGCGATTCGGTTAACCAAGAGTAAACGTAGCGACATATTTGGCGGGTATTCATTCCTTAGAGTATTGTACTATAAAAAAAGAATTCTCGTGGATAAAACTTTCGTTTTTCGTTTGAACATTTCTGTGCAAACTAATGACATAGACAATAGACAGACGAGATAGGGAGACACAAAAAGACGCGTGCGAGTAATTTTTCTGCAGTACCGAAGTGGAACGCTAGTAGGCTACGATCTAACGTTAGTTCTTTTTTACCACGCCACATGAAGTTGCCTTCACTATTGTCATATCCAGAAACGTGCCTATCTAGTTCTATAACTGAGCGGGCACAGATGTAAGTACAGCCTGACTATCCACATCTGTGCCTAGAAGAGCTGCCAATCATAGTTATTGACAGCAAAACCAGAATGCAACGTTGTTGTTTAGTTTTCTGACAAATAAATCTCTGTGATCGAGGTGAATAAAACCATAGTTTTATACAGAAGCTAGCTTGGGCTAAATCGTGGAAAGGAAACATGTTATGAAAGCTGCAAACCCCCCACACCCCCACACCCCCGACGAAACGGTACACGGGAATTGTCTAGTAATTGACAGTAGCATTATACAAGTACTGTCGTTTACTCACTTGAAATGTACCAGTTTGTTTCACCGTCAGACCCCCGTTGCCATGGCAATGGCCACTATGGCCGCCGCCTATTTACTTCACTATGGGCTTTGTACGTGGAATACCCTTACGGCTGGTGCAAATAATACAGCTGAGTCTGATCTACCAAAAACTGTAGATCATTCTATTCATTATTTTAAAAAATACACAGTTGTAGGTTAGGCTAAAGCAAGTAAATCTTATGGATGACATCCTCCGCAGACTCCAAATCTAATGCGAGCGGGTAAAAAAAAACAAGGCGGGCCAAACAAAACAAGGTTCCTACATTTTAGAATATTGACAATCATTGTACAAATGGTTTTGATTCAGTGAGAACATCACATATACGCAGTCAACATCATATATCACTGCATTAAAGTAAGAAACAAAACATTTAATCAGAGCCTTTTCTTGTCTCCTCTCTTCATAGTTATCTGCCATTCACGTTCCGGCATGGCAACAGACATCTTTGCCCATTTTCGACATGTTGACCACAGTCAGAAGGCAACAAAAGTTCTTTTTTTTTTCAAAATTAGGTGAAAATTAATGCGCGCTTTGATGTCATCCATGAAAATTACTTGCTGTGGCCTTATCGCCAATGCATTACCAACCTTATCTTAAATTAAGGCATTTACCGTCATCGGTAAATCCCGCTTTTCTTTCAGTACAACAACTCGGGGTCAATAGCCTGCGGCAGTGTTGGGCGCCTTTGTTAGTTGTACCTAAACCAGTTTTGACAAAGTTCGCTTTTTTCAAGATGGCGATTGCGTTACTACTTGTTGTTTTCATTCTGTCCGGCTTTTTCCCTGTCCAAGCACAGGACACTCGAACTGACCAGGCTGGGTCCGTTCTCCGGGAGTATGTAGACAAGGGCTACTGTACCTACACATTTGTGTTCCCACCTGGACCCCGTAGGGAGGGCTGCACACCGCCGGGCCTCGAGAGACAACTCGCCGAGACCAGAGAGGAAACGGCCCGCTTAAAAAATCAAGTGGATCGCCTGACATCGCTGGTGGAATCTTTGCTGTCCAGAGTGGACAGTTTGCCGGTCACTGAAGTAACTTTTAACTTGTCTGTCTATGCTTGTTTTTATGCCTGATGCAAGAGTGAGTCAGCAAAATTAACTTCCCTTTACTATATTCCATATAGGCCTTTATCTGTTTATACAATGTGTTTTTAATAGAAAATAGATTTGAACTAGAGAAGATGCATAATGTTTACCTTCGGACATGCTCTGCCCTGTTAATTTTTTCTCAAACACATTCACGTACATGTACTACGAGTATATGGTGACAGGAGTAGAGCAGACCATGAAATTGCAACATTATGTAACCCAACACCAGTCACCGTGGTGACAGACGTCAACAAATCATGTCATTGGCCAGGTCAGAGGTTAGTGTTTAGAACAGAAGAGGAGGAAGAAACTGAGTAAAAGCTCACCTGTGTTAGAATCCCATTTTTTATTCACTTTTGACGTCACCAAAGGTACGGATTCCGGAAAGTCAGCAAAAAGCAGTCCGGAAACTCAGATTGAGTTTATGAATTTTCCATTACGTGTACTACGATCTATTTTCAATAATCTTTGACACTGTCAGGTTCATTGTGGTTGTATCTTATGGGTCTTTGTTTTGTTATTGTTGTCAACACTAATAAGAAAGACACTGGACAGTGCAGATTTTACTCGTTATCATGAACAGATCTACATGTACAGGTTCATGATCAGAACCTTCAATATATAATGTCATGTACAAATACAAATGTCATGAACTAAGTACAATGTATGTAAGTATATTTCGAAATGGTTAATAAAATAGAGAAGAAGCCGTTAGAATTTAGATCGACACTACTTTATATAGTTCTTCACATTTTATACCTTAGACCAGATGTAAGCCTTTTGTTATTGTTGTAGTACATTACACATCCCTGCATTTATCCCCCCGGGGAATGAACAGGCAATAAAGATTCTTTAATAACTCAAAATTGCACATATTTTGTACGATCGAAAGTCGATGCTCAATTAACAACACTTTAATAGTCAATATTGTAATCAGGAAATTTCCTTCTTTAGTGACATGAACACTTTAAACGGTGGATTTTCTCTTTCTCTGTTTTTTTCCTCCTACAGGCCATACCTGTTACACAGAACAATGCTGAGGAAGATGTCGAGAGTGCGTTCACGTGCGATGGTAAAGATTCCGGCCCCCACCCCGACCCGGAGAACTGTGGCAAGTTTTACATGTGTGCACCGGGACACCCTGCGCCGCACCACTTCGACTGCGCGCCCGGAGGTCTGGTATTCGACGTCAGGCTCCAAGTCTGCAATTGGCCGTGGGCGGTTCCGCCGCCCTGTGGGGTACGTGCTTCTATGACTCCTTCAATATCCCTTTGTCACACTCTATCTATCTTCATCATCAGGTCGGGAGTAGTTCCTGGTCCCAGACTCTCTCCCTACAGTCCTTTCTGTCCGTCATGGCACTCGCCTGGTACTGTAATTCCTGTTTTTTTTTCACGTTTCTGTTATGTTCACTGTCTTCACTGTCACTTCTGTTCCGTGAACTTATCATTACAGTTAACAAGTAATTCCTGGACTTTCTTTTTCCTGTACCTGTCGCCACAGTGAATATATATAGTTCCGTGAATATGTCCATTTTTCTCAAACCGTGAACTTTTGGTACCGTGAACATAAAGTGAATTACAGTACTCTTTTGGTAGTCCCACATCAGCAACCAGCTGGTCTATATACGTCATGCGAAGGCGCCCAGGTTTACCATGTCCTTGTTTAGGCTCCCACAGGACCAGTTCACTAGCTAGTTATGTTTACAGAAGATAAACATATTGTTTTTGCACAGTTTCTTCCTCTTCTTCTTCTCCAAACAGTGACCTCTGACCTGACCAATGACATGATTTGTTGACGTCTGTTACCATGGTGACTGGTGTTGGGTTACATAATGTTGCAATTTCATGGTCTGCTCTGCTCCTGTCACCATATACTAGTAGTACATGTATGTGAGTGTGTTTGAGTAAGAATTAACGGAGCAGACCATATCCGAAGGTAAACATTATGCATTTGCTATATGCACATGTTACTTCTCTTGTTCGTTCTTGTTCCTGTAGACATGTCCTGCAAATCTTGTCCTCCGCTGTCTGATGAGCTCTATCGATCTTAGGCACCGTGAAATTACTGATTATTACTTGATAAGTCAAAACAAGGACAGGGACTCACCAAAAACATGACTATGTGTTGTCATGAATTATTGGAATAAGAAAATAATAAAATAAAAATTCAACCTATCCTCCGGTCCTATTAAGGTAAGTGAGGACTCTTTCTGCTGAAGTGACAGTCGTACCTGGCAGAGATGGCACGCCGGTCGACGTCTATCAAAGACTGGTGTACAGTGGTTTATATATTGTTTGGTGTGCCCATAAGCGTAAGGGTCTACAAATCAAATCTAGCCCATTTATGGCCAGCACTCGATAATTATATTATATCTCGGCACGAAACAACCCTGATGCTAATAAAAGGCTGTTCTATTCTGGTCTAGTTCACATTTTATGTTATGTTTTAACAACTTCCACGACCTCATTCCTTCACCAAAAGATGTATACGTATACGCCAAACGCCAAACACTTTCTGAAGTATCCGTGAGTGTGTGCGCGTGTCTGTGTGTGTGTGCGTGTGTGCGCGCGCGCGCGTGTGTGTGTGTTTGTGTCTGTGTGTGTGTGTTTGTGTGTGTGTGTCTGTGTGTGTGTGTGTGTGTGTGTGTGTGTGTGTGTCTATGTCTCTGTGTGTGTGTGTGTTTTAGAATCACTGCTGGTGTCGCTTAAAACTAATTACATGCTATTATATGTCCCTATCCAGACCCAGGGTGCCGGGTGAGTTGAAACAGTGCAAATGTCCGTTTGTTCTGGCACTGCAGGAACTATCCACGCTCAATTGTAAGCGCCATTTCCGTCCGCCATCATGCAGTGCGCCTGCCATCGGTGTCTAATTTGTCTCTAGTAAGAATACACAACAGTAAATTTACTTAGATTTAATCCGTTTTAGCGCATTTTATAAGCTAATTCTATGTTAAAATTTCAAAGACCACATTTGTACCTGAAGTATATTTCTCTGATAAAATAAGAGTCTGATCAAAGGTCAGTGGATAAAGTCATAAATGCTTTTGCTGCCTGTTTTGATAATTGCATTTAAAAGTCAGTTAATTAAAACAATTCTCTGGTAGGCAACCCCCATTTGTGCGAAGAATTTATTTCCCATTCCTTTCAGCGCACATATGTGTAAGGACCTGTTCAGACAAAAACGCCCGAACCGCGATTCGGGTGAATCGCATTCCTCACATCTGGTCCGCGTGCCACACTGTTCATTCTAAACCGTGCGCGAGCACGATTCACCTAGACTACGTTCATTGTTGTTTCATGAAAACACGAAAGGTAACATGTTATCAATGTCAGAGGTCAACAACCTGCTTGCTGGTGCCCCCTTCCTAGCGTATCTCGGCCGAATGCCGACGTGGTCTCGCCCTTGGCTGTGAAGCTCGTCCTAGAATGCGCACATTATTTGGTCAATGCTTTTTTCAAGTTGCTGTTATTGTGTAAATATTGTTATTGCATGTAAATAAAGAAATATCACTCCGTTATTCATGACCGGGTCAATATGTTGAATGTGTTGAAGCCGGTTCGAAACTACCTCCCGAGGTGGTTTAGGATCGAGGCGCATTCAATGCGATTTAGCGCGTTAAGATGTGGCCACTTGAATCCTTCGTCAGTGGAATCTCAGTCACTGACGAAAGGTATAAGTGCAACACCGCCGAATGCAACACCTGAAACTTCTGACCGTTTCCAACATCATATCCAGTTGCTTGAGTAACTGCTTTTTGGAGTATCGTATTACCTGTATGCCGAGCCTGCTATCACCCTCCACCGATGTCCCCACCCAACTAGCCCATTATAGACTGGGGGAGGGGGGCGGTGCTAAAAGTACCGGTCTTCTATTTCATGTAAAATAACGTCTGAACGTCTTGCTGTAAAACCACCAAATTTAATTTCTTAGGTATCTATCTAAAGTGTATCACAATTCCATACTACTATTTACTAGTAAGAGAGTTAACTTATGGGGGGGGGAAGCAACTTGTAAAGGTACGTATGCACCTGTTTTGCCCTCCCTTTCACTTTGTTAAAAATCATAATAAACAAATAATCATTTTTTATGTTGTAATGGCTACGGGTTTTAACCTTTAACGCAGCTTCCTAGTGAGGAGCATTTATAAATATCAAATCAAGTGAATTTATTGCTTTACAACTGTAACTGGTACAATGTATTGCAAACAAAAGAAACAACAACAAGGGTAGATACATGAGCTATTTTAAAATACGATTCTAACAGAGCTAATCAACAATGATTACTAGCTATACTAAATTCCAATTCTACCAAAGCTAGTATAATCTATTGTATATTTTTTATAATTCAGGACATATGCCAGTTATTTTAATATACACACAATATGGTTTTAAACTTTTGTAGTGATTCAGATATATAAAGTTTTTTTCTCTAATCGTTTCGGCTAAATGCACCATTTCAACGTCTTAACAAATTGCGGTTCTGTTGTCTAATTCAACGACTCTTTGAAGCACAAGGCTAGCAGATATCGATCATATACTCTTAATACTCATAATATGTGCGTGCTATCACGTTTTGAACATACATTAATGTCTAGTATACTGTAAGTTTTATATAGCGACGACTGTGTTAGTCAGTAGATACGGATCTAAGACCTTCATTGTAGATGTATGATATTTACGAAGGAAATACGGGTCATGGTGATAACGTTCTACATACAAACGTCACAGTAATACGAGTCTGATATCTTACTTAATCTTCAGCATGCTGATATATACAGCTACAGGCTCAGCATTTTCTCGCTTCTAAAGTCAGTTGTAGAACAGATGGACTTTATAATACATGGTCTATCGAGTTGCATTAGGAATATATTTTTCTTTGGTATGTAAATATTTAAAACTGTGGAACTTATATACAGTTAAAGATAATACTTTGTCGTTGTTTATATGTCCATGCATGGCCCCTCCTCCCTTAACCCAAAACCCACAAATTCTATGTATTCCCTGAGAGCGGCAAACGGTAAAAAAACACCTAAACCAATACAACTGGTTCTCCAGTCAGAAATAAGCGTCTATTATGATAATAGCTACCGTGTCTGATCATGACCTCTCATACTTTGTATCACATGCATCTGTGACATAAAGTTATTTCTGTCACAAAAAATCAAAATCACATTCTACAAAGTATACAACTACTTTTAAAAGTTGTGTTTACTGTTTAGTCACCAAAGTTTAAGCTACCTACGAGCTTTTTGTGAAGCATATTTTGACGGTGCCTCCACCAAGTATACACTGCTACTAAACCAGTGCCTAACACTATGAGTGCAACACCGCCGAATTTTAAAGCACTAGGAAACTCTGAGTGGATTATGTAGTCCAACAGCACTGAAAGAGGGATGGCGAAAGTCTTTATGGTAGCAGTAATGCCTGCTTTTTCCGTCTTCAGCGCTAGTTTTGTGGTAAACGATGCGGCAGTAACGCATAGACAGAGTCCGATAACGTAACCCACCGTTTGTCCAGGCATCGCCCAACGCGGGGTCTCTATCACGTAGGTCAGCACAAGCAGTACTACTGCCCCACAAATGTTGGCGTACAGAGTCTGAGTTAGAATGGAGAACCCTTGCATGCCAATGAGTGACCGCACGATGACGTGATCCGGACCCTTGGTGAACGACGTTGCGAGTGGCAGAAGAATGGCCGCCGTCAGATGCTGTGTGGACGAAGTATTCTCCAGAACCATTCCAACTGCGACAACTATCACCCCAACCGTACTGAGAACGATTCCTAAACAGTTCACGACACCCACAGTTTCGGAAAGACACAAAAATCCTATGCAGGCAGCGACGAAAGGCATGGATCCTCGATTGATCCCGAAGGAAATTCCAGGGAGAGCATAAACAAAGGACATGCATCCGAAGATTGTTCCCATGTTGTCCATAATTGTCGTAAGTACAAGAAATAGAGTTTGCTTTCCGCCTTCGGGTGTCAGCTTTGGTTTAAAGAAAGGCAGGAGGACGAGGATAACAATGAGCTGCGTAAGTTTGATGAGGAATACCAGCTGCAGCCCAGGTATTCCTGACTGACTACTCAGGGCCATGAACTGTGCTGCGAAGGCGACACACGCTGTGTTCAACAAAGTATACAGAACACCTGCACCGGATTTCAGGTACACCTTAGTGGAACTGGCGGCCTCTAGATCTGTCGTCTCCTCTTGATCGGTTTCTGTCGCGTCTTTGCCTACTGCCGTTGTTTTAGCCATCTTTGGAAAGTACATCAAACCAGGGAGGTTAAAGGATCGACCAAAGTTACACACTGGTGTTAATATAACTGTGATTATGTTAATATCTTGCGTGACCTTGATTGTCTGAATTCGAATGTCTGAGTAGTCTTCAATTATGAGTTTTGCCGCAGGGGAATGCGCTGTCCTGTAATTTCATTGAGGTTCTCTTTTATATCTCTTTTATTATGAATGACAAATTGCAGTCTTCGAGCCTTGGTAACTTCAACGTCTGGACATTTGTTGTGTTTTTTTAGACTCCTGTTTATATCATGTATCAATCTTTAAGTGTAACTGAACAAAAGTCATCCCCCTTACATGGAGTAGTAAGCCAGTCTGTTAAAAGGCGATTGTAAGTGGTTGAACCGGTAATATATGTAGGACAAGACCTAAGTTCGTGGTGGTTTTCTTTTGTTTTGCTTAATTTCATGCCTGGAGGCAAAAAGAACCCCAGTTAACCGACAAAAACTCGAAAATACCTGATTCCGGTGCAGCACGTTGTAGTAAGTTCTGCCTTCGTGCTTGTAAAAAATAAAAACATTTTCCATACTTTGACCATAAACTTATAACTTTGCGTTATGTACGAAGGTATGCATGTGCAAAGATGAGAGAATTAAAAAAAAAACATCGGAATTTTCTTTATATTTATTCCAAAATTGTTAGTTCAACAATCACAAAAGCGGCACTTTTGAATTAACATTTTTTAGAACACTCAAGCTGTCAACAAAAAGAAAGTCCAGTTTTGGTAGCCACACTTAGCCAGGGCACGTGGAAGGTGTCTATGTTCGCCTGTTTTGGCTTGGTCTGAAGTGATAATGTTGTCTGCACGATCAAAGTTTTGATCACTGCTAGTTTGTGTTCCTGCATTTCCCCTCTGGTCTCTCAGACACTGACGAAAGGTATGAGTGCAACACCGCCGAATGCAACACCTGAAACTTCTGACCGTTTCCAACATCATATCCAGTTGCTTGAGTAACTGCTTTTTGGCGTATCGTATTACCTGGATGCCGAGCCTGCTATCACCCTCCACCGATGTCCCCACCCAATTAGCCCATTATAGACTGGGGGAGGGGGGCGGTGCTAAAAGTACCGGTCTTATATTTCATGTAAAATAACGTCTGAACGTCTTGCTGTAAAACCACCAAATTCAATTTTTTTAGGTATCTATCTAAAGTGTATCACAATTTCATACTACTATTTACTAGTAAGAGAGTTAACTTATGGGGGAGAAGCAACTTGTAAAGGTACGTATGCACCTGTTTTGCCCTCCCTTTCACTTTGTTAAAAATCAAAATAAACAAATAATCATTTTTATGTTGTAATGGCTACGGGTTTTAACCTTTAACGCAGCTTCCTAGTGAGGAGCTATTATAAAAATCAAATCAAGTGAATTTATTGCTTTACAACTGTAACTGGTACAATGTATTGCAAACAAAAGAAACAACAACAAGGGTAGATACATGAGCTATTTTAAAATACGATTCTAACAGAGCTAATCAATAATGATTACTAGCTATACTAAATTCCAATTCTACCAAAGCTAGTATAATCTATTGTATATTTTCTATAATTCAGGACATATGCCAGTTATTTATACACACAATATGGTTTTAAACTTTTGTAGTGATTCAGATATATAAAGTTTTTTCCCTAATCGTATCGGCTAAATGCACCATTTCAACGTCTTAACAATTCGCGGTTCTGTTGTCTGATTCAACGACTCTTTGAAGCACAAGGCTAGCAGATATCGATCATATACTCTTAATACTCATAATATGTGCATGCTATCACGTTTTGAACATACATTAATGTCTAGTATACTGTAAGTTTTATATAGCGACGACTGTGTTAGTCAGTAGATACGGATCGAAGACCTCCATTGTAGATGTATGATATTTACGAAGGAAATACGGGTCATTGTGATAACGTTCTACATACAAACGTCACAGTAATACGAGTCTGATATCTTACTTAATCTATAGCATGCTGATATATACAGCTACAGGTTCAACATTTTATCGCTTCTAAAGTCAGTTTTAGAACAGATGGACTTTATAATACATGGTCTATCGAGTTGCATTAGGAATAAATTTTTTCTTTGGTATGTAAATATTTAAAACTGTGGAACTTATATACAGTTAAAATAATACTTTCTCGTTGTTTATATGTCCTTGCATGGCCCCTCCTCCCTTAACCCAAAAGACACCAATTCTATGTATTCCCTGAATGCGGCAAACGGTAAAAAAGCACCTAAACCAATACAACTGGTTCTCCAGTCAGAAATAAGCGTCTATTATGATAATAGCTACCGTGTCTGATCATGACCTCTCATACTTTGTATCACATGCATCTGTGACATAAAGTTTTTTCTGTCACAAAAAAATCAAAACCACATTCTACAAAGTATACAACTACTTTTAAAAGTTGTGTTTACTGTTTAGTCACCAAAGTTTAAGCTACCTAAGAGCTTTTTGTGAAGCATATTTTGACGGTGCCTCCACCAAGTATACACTGCTACTAAACCAGTGCCTAACACTATGAGTGCAACACCGCCGAATTTTAAAGCACTAGGAAACTCTGAGTGGATTATGTAGTCCAACAGCACTGAAAGAGGGATGGTGAAAGTCTTTATGGTAGCAGTAATGCCTGCTTTTTCCGTCTTCAGCGCTAGTTTTGTAGTAAACGATGCGGCAGTAACGCATAGACAGAGTCCGATAACGTAACCCACCGTTTGTCCAGGCATCGCCCAACGCGGAGTTGATATCACGTAGGTCAGCACAAGCAGTACTACTGCCCCACAAATGTTGGCGTACAGAGTCTGAGTTAGAATGGAGAACCCTTGCATGCCGATGAGTGACCGCACGATGACGTGATCCGGACCCTTGGTGAACGAAGTAGCGAGTGGCAGAAGAATGGCCGCCGTCAGATGCTGTGTGGACGAGGTGTTCTCCAGAACCATTCCAACTGCGACAACTGTCACCCCAACCGCACTGAGAACGATTCCTAAACAGTTCACGACATCCACAGTTTCGGCAAGACAGAAAAATCCGATGCAGGCAGCGATGAAAGGCATGGATCCTCGTATGATCCCGAAGGAAATCCCAGGGAGAACATAAACAAAGGACATGAAATCCGAAGATTGTTCCCAGGTTGTCCATAATTGTCGTAAGTACAAGAAATAGAGTTTGCTGTCCGCCTTCGGGTGTCAACTTTGGTTTAAAGAAAGGCAGAAGAAAGAGGACAACAAGTAGCTGCGTAAGTTTGATAAGGAATATCAGCTGCAGCCCAGGTATTCCTGACTGACTGCTCAGGGTCATAAACTGTGCAGCGAAGGCGACACACGCTGTGCTCAGCAGAGTATACAGAACACCTGCACCGGATTTCAGGTACACCTTAGTGGAACTGCCGGCCTCTAGATCTGTAGTCTCCTCTTGATCCGTTTCTTTTACGTCTTTTCCTACCGCCGTTGTCCTAGCCATCTTTCACCACCTCTATTGAGAAGTACATCAAACCAGGGAGGTTAAAGGATCGACCAAAGTAACACACTGGTGTCAACCGTGATTATACTCATATCTTGAGTGACCTGAGTGTCTGAGTTGGAATGTCTGAGTAGCCTTTAATTATGAGATTCGCCTCAGGGGAATGCGATGTCCTGTAAAATTACCGAGGTTCTCTTTTTAACCTCATTGATCATGTATCAAAGTACAGTTTTGGAGTCTTGGCAGCCTGTTTGATATCTGTTTTGTCTTTTTTTAAAAAGATTTAAAAGTCATGCATAAATCTTCCAGTGTGACTGAGCAAATTTTATCCTCCTTATATGGAGTAAGCTGACCTGTTGAAAGACGGTTGCTAGTGGTTGAACCAGTAATATATGTACGGCAAGACCTAATTTCGTGGTGGTTTTCTTTTGTTTTGCTTAGTTACATGCCTGGAGGCAAAAAAGAACACCAGTTAACCGACAAAAACTCGAAAATACCTGATTCCGGTGCAGCACGTTGTAGTAAGTTCTGCCTTCGTGCTTGTAAAAAAAAACATTTTCCATACTTTGACCATAAACTTATAACCTTGCGTCATGTACGAAGGTATGCATGTACAAAGATGAGAGAATTAAAAAAAAAACATCGGACTTTTCTTTATATTTATTCCAAAATAGTTAGTTCAACAATCACAAAAGCGGCACTTTTGAATTAACATTTTTTAGAACACTCAAGATGTCAACAAAAAGATATGTTTTACTTTGAGGAAGCACATTATTGTCACCGGTATACTGCCAAAAATCCAAACCTTAAAATATTATAATTGCAACTAAACACCGTAACACTCCAGGCAGATTAGTAAGCAACTGCTGTTTTTATCAGCGGAGTTCCTTATAAGCATAAACATATACAGTTTGCAAAATCTCTGTTGAATTCACCAACGTTTAGACCCTGGCTTCCCCCCACTCGCAATGAAGTACATAATAGGGACTTAAAAGGGGGGTTCCAGCTTAGCCTACCATCTATAAAATCTGAACAGGTACAGGAACAGTGCTATTCCATACCTGTCAAAACTCTTTTAAAAACAGTGCTTAGTCTACCGTGTAATCATCCTATTAATGCTACAACGACGCCTTATCCAACCTAGGTCTCCCCTCCCTTGAAAAGAGGAGGGAGGACCTAAGTTTGAAATTTGCCAGATCCCTTTTCCTTTCCCCCTTTAGATCCTGGTTACCCCCATCCCGTGAGACTACCCACATCAGAACATGCAAACAGACTAACCAGCTCACTGCCCCCCTCCCCAGAACAAATCGATATAAAAATAGCCCGATCCCTTATCTTACGAACCTATTAAACAAATATGGCACATAGTAAATCTCCCATGACCAATCCTATCAAGATTAGTTTTCATGTAACATACTATAAAATTATTTTTTTACACTGATGATATTGATTACTTATTGGTTGATATTGTGAATATTGTTAAGTTCATTTTACGCACTTTTTTAGTTGCCTATATGTTAACTGTGAAATACTCACTTGTTGTCTATTTGTTACTCGTAACTGTGCAATATTTGTCTCTCTTTTTTTAAACACTAGCATGAAATTCAGAGCTACTTTTTTAGTTGCTCTGCCACGTGCTAGCGATTGTACTTATCGATCAATCAATCAACAAACAATTATTATTATTATTACTACCAATTGTATATACTCCTGTTATTTAGTTTGGTTATGTTTGTAAATATTAATGATATTTTGTGTCTTTGCTGTTTTAGTTTTATGTCAATTTGCAAATAAACCATTTACACATATACATAAACACCTAATGTTCCGTCAATATACACTGTTTTATTGTGTGTTATCGCATTGGATGCCTTACATACTCTTTTGTCTGAGAATTAATATCCTAAAATTATTGGCATATTTGGGGATTAGCAAAAGCAAAACATAACGTTGCACTATTAGTTGCACTATCTATGTCTATCATGCGATGCATTGATCCTGGTGGTTAGCTTGTTGGACTGTTACTGTGATTTCTTCTGTTCCTGCTTTTGTAAATAACTCTGGTGTGCAGCTTTCCTCAGCTCGCGTTCCATAGACTCCCCAGTTTCAGACACCAACTTGCTGAAGATGCTATCCGGGTACTCCGTCAACAGAAGGTGTGGCTCGTCAAATTCTGCTACACGACCTTCATCCATCACCTAATTGATTGATAGGAAAGAGATAAAGAAGGAAGCCAAAGCGAGTTTCAGTCTCGTAAATGGTTGTTGCCATTTGAAACGGTCGACAAAATATCGTTGAACGGCAAACTTTATAAGTGCCCCCGGCGGACTGTTTTTGGCTCTATCGAACGAAACCAGAACAGGACCCGGCGGGGGCCCTGACGGCTGCCGGCCTTTGTTGATCCCGTGCGGGCGCCAACTTGATTTTATCTCGAACTTAAAATCACCCCAGGCCCCGGCAAGAAAACGCCAGGAGGAAGCCGTAACTTATTCGTGGCCAAGAAAGGCGTCTAGACCGGGAACATACCTCGCGGACCCCGTTGGGAATGTGGCCCCAGCATAAACACCGTGATGTTTCGTAATTTAAAAGATTAGGATTTTTTAATCATTTCGAATCCGATTATATGCTTTTACTATTTTCACGATGCTGTCGTACATTTCCAATTAAAATGTATTTATTAATTTATTTCTGTTTTATTTATACAGGGTGGAGACCTCAGTGCTATTTAAAACACTGCTTTTCAGGAATGCCCTGTACGTGACAACAAGTTACACATGAAAAAAATGAAACCAACACATTAAACAATACATAAAGTTACAAAACAACCAAGCGTCAAAACAAAATCGTTATCCGTAAATCAATGTCGTTAAGCCAGGCCAAGGTCAGGAGGTCAGAGGTCAGCAGTGTTGTTTCAGAACCTTCATAAACGACAGGTAAGACGTGGCAAAATGTTTATTTTGATACATTTTAAATTATGTGCCCAATAAAAAAAATTACGATACATGACCTTAAACGTTTGGATATGGCATCGACCGTTTTAAATGGAGACGAGCTAGTCGGCAGTTAGTGTAGCCTTAAGGTTGCCAAAACTTCATAGAATAAAATAAAAAAAGTTGACCATATACACATAATATGTAGTTTGCTTGTTTATAAGAAAAACGCATTACCAAAAATCTGTCAGAGTCAAAAATGGCTGTATAAGGACAAAGCTTACATATATTTTGAAAATTGGGAAATCATACCAAAATTCTGTCTGAGTCCATGACGGTGTGGAGTCTGTGTGCGATGGTCAGCACGGTGCAGTGTTTGAAGCGTTCTCTGATAGTCGTCTGGATCAGCCGGTCCGTTCTGCAAAACACAACCAAGCCAAAAATTATTTTCACATTGGAAAAAGGCCGTCCATGGCGAGACTAGATTTGTCTCCACCAGACCCCTTTGCAGTTGCAGCCTGGTCAGTTGCATTCCTTTTTGGGCCGATTTTTACTATTGATTAAGCCTGGGGGATTCTGGTAGAGACTAAGTGTAAAAATTGAAATACACAGGTGCAATAATTTGCAGTGGTATGATGGTCGATTACACTTATTTTACTCAATTTTAGGCCACACCAATTTAATTTGTTGGTTCTCGGGTTTGCCTCTTCCTTTCTTTCTGATTTGCGAGAAAAAAAAAATCTGGTTATAAATATGCACATATTTTGCCCACAACATTTGAGTCCTTTTCTTCTTGGTTGTTACAGTGCAGTGGTTTGGTTTCAAGTTCAAAAATCATTGTTCAAAATCAAATATTAACCCAGCCTATTGTGTTGACTTTATGGCTCTTTTTTTCGCCCTGTCGCTTCATATTTCTTATGAAACAATCCGAGTACCAACAAATTTAACTGGTGTGGCCTTATCAGGTAATAGAACATTTAACGCTTTGAACATTGAAAAAATGCTGTTTTATACATCTTGTTTTATACTCTTTAATTGCTTTAAAGCAATTGTCCTCCAATTAATTCGTTTGTTGTTTCATCAGAAGACCTTATCATTTAAAGACCTTATCATTTAAAAAAACGTATTTCTCTGGCATGTGAAAATATAGCATATTAATTCATACATATAAATATTATTTATTACTTCTTTTTTAATTATTTTAAAATATACATGTGACAAAAAAAAATTTAAAAAAGCAACGAAAACTGCACCGTACCTGAGATCGATGTTGGCTGTCGCCTCGTCAAACAGCAGGATGCGGTTGTAGTACAGAATGGTCCGCGCCAGACACAGGAGCTGCTTCTGCCCCACGCTCAGACTTCCGCCTCTCTCCCCTATCGGCGTGTCCAGGCCTTTCGGAAGCTTCTGGATGTCTTCAGTCATGTAAACCTTCGTACACAAAGGAAGAACGTTAACAGAATAAAGTCATCAGTTACGAATCCCTGCCCAAGAGTTCTTTACAAAACAAAATAATGGTACACAAGGAGGGTATAGTTAACTGTTGTGAAAATTGACTTATAAATATTTACTAACCAATTCTCAGTTTACTTTACTTTACTTTTTACTTTACTTTACTTTATTGGGACTGACAACACATCAGTACACGGGTCATCAAGGCAGTCGAAACTGGTAGTAGATAGATGATCCACAAATACAGACGTTATACAAACTTAGATAACGAAATCTAACTGTAAAGTACAAAACAAGAAACTAGAGTTCCACGATCTCATACCTTCGCCAAATGATGTTAGCTTTTATGAAGAAGAACTTATATACAATGTATTAATCCCCCTGATTATGCAAATAGGATCCGCAATTGCATGAATTACATCTGTTGATCATAATCTCCACCAACAGTCTTATTTTAACAAAGAATGCCATTATAGCAAGCAGCTAGGGGGCCCAAACTCACGTCACTTCTTCCCCAGCACAAGACCTACCTGCCATCAAAATTTCGTCACCCTAGCATGTCTGGATCATGATATATCAAAACCGGAAGTTCAGCTGCAGTACCATGACAAGCCTCCAGGGGGCCCAAAATCTAATCAGTTCGAGCTCTCATCAAGACCTACCCATCTACCAAATATCAAGATAATCCATCTAAGCTTTCTCGAGTTATGCTGTTGACAGACACACACACACACACACGGCCAGGAAAACATAACCTTCTCCAATTCTTGGCGAAGGTAATAATGGTAACATCCTTAATCGGTGGCAGAGGAGAATAGAATTGAAGGTGATCACCTGCAAAGGCCGGCTTACATGAGGCTATCAGAAACAGATAAGGCATGATTTGAAGGCATTGGTTTTAGAAAGGTCCCATCCATTTTACGCCTTTATCTTACCTCGTCCAGGGATGTCCACAATGCATTATCAGAGTGCATGTCCAAGGGATCAAGATTTTTCCTTACGGTCCCCTGGATCATGATGGGATCTTGTTGAATGACGGAGATCTTCTTCCTGAGATCGTGCAGTCCCAGTTTACGGATGTCCACCCCGTCTATCCGGATACTGCCTGTCGGTTCTACCAGCCTCATCAGCATCATCAGCAGGGAACTTTTCCCCGCGCCGGTACGACCAACGATGCCAACCTAGAAATAGAGATATACTTCGTTATAATCAAGTTTTTCTGGATAGGCCATCTATAAGGCTACGGTTCCGTGTACGACATCACAAAATCGTCCGTGATCGCATGCAGGCGCACGGAGCACTCACTCACTTCCGATCCGTAAGAGCCATTGCTGTCAGACAGTAGTGTGCCTAAATACGTGGTGTCTTTTACAAAACATTCGACACCAAAATAATGAAATCGCCAGGGCGAGCAAACAGGGACGCGGAACCATGCTCGCCAACTTCCCCCCCATATCCCAGTTACGGACTATCATATCTAAAACCGTGTTACCAGAATGGGTAAGGGTTAGAATAAGGCATGGTTCTAAATAATAGTACTCTTTTACTAGATATGTAGACTTGCCTTACTCCTGCGGGGTGGCCGTCAACACAGATATGCCCTAACCGTGTATTCAAGAAGTTAACGATAAATATGCACAAGCACGGTTCCAGATAGGCATGGACTATGTCTAAACATGCCTGACCATTGTTCTCTATACCGATGTAGCATAGTTCTGGATAAATATATGTAGCTTCAGAAAGGTGCTATAGCTATAACGTACCTTCTCACCCCCGACTATGTTCAGGTTGACGTTCTTTAGAACGGAGGGCTCCTGCTCGCCGTAGGAAAGGTAGACTCCTTTCAGATCTATGGCGCCGTATGCCGGCCAGTCCGGCGGGGGTTTGTGGTCGGTCTCCCACGGTGCTTCAGGCGTTAGCTCGGCGTATTCTATCACCCTTTCGGCATTGATCATCTGAAAGTACAATAATGTATAATCTTAATAATATCCAGCACTGCATTAAATTCAATTTGTATCCTCCTTTTATGCACTATTTCGTAAAGAGAAAAATAGCGAAACCTAAGCAAAGACAGGAAATGGTCAG